CCCCCCCCCGCTCGCGTCAAAATCTGACATCCTACCCCTCCCTCCCATCCCTTACCATGGCGCTGATTTTCTCTATCCGCGGACGCGTGTCGTAGCGGGCCTGTGGCTCCGCGCGCGTGTGCGTAGTGGGTGGTGGTGCGCGTGCGTGCGTGCGTGTGTGCGTGGTTGTGGTTGTTGTGGTGGTGGTGTGTATGTGTGTGTGCGTGTGTGCGCGTGTGCTGTGGTGTGACGTGATGTGGCGTCTTGGTGGTTTGGTGGTGGGCCAGGTGCGTACGTGCGTGATGGCGGTGGTGGTGGTGGCGGTGGTGGTGTGTGTGTGTGTCTGTGTGTGTGCGTGTGTGTGTGTGTGTGTGCGTGTGTATGTGTGTGTGCGTGCGTGCGTGTGTGTCTGTGTGTGCGCGCGTGTGATGTGGTGTGACGCGGTGTAGCGTGGTGGTGGTGGGTGGGGTAGTGCGGTGGTGGTGTCGGTGCGCGGTGGTGGTGCGCGTGCGTGCGTGCGTGCGTTGGTGGGTGGAAGTGGCGGTGGGTGTGCGTGCGGCGGTGCGGGGCGTGGTGCGGCGCGGTGGTGGCGGGCGGATGGGCGCGCGAGAAAGAGGCCCGCGCTGGGGCGAGAACGCCATCCTGAACGACGGAGGCGAAACACCGATCCGAAAATGAGGCCCACGCTGCAGCGGGAGCACGATTCGGAACGATTCGGGAGCAGAAATGAGGCCGGCGCCTCAGCGAGAGCAGCATTTTGAAAAAAATCGCAGGCGAAAACCCAACTCCCGGGAATCCTGTGTAAAAAAACAGTACGCGGGGGGGGGTCTACTACTCCCAGCACGCCATCAGGGGAAGAGGGAGAGTAGTATTCATATTGAGTAATTGTAGAGAGGAGAGAGGAGAAAGGAGAGAGGAGAGAGGAGAGAGGAGAGAGGAAAGAGGAGAGGAGAGGAGAGGAGAGGAGAGGAGAGGAGAGGAGAGGAGAGGAGAGGAGGAGGAGGCGGGAGGAGGGAGGAGGAGAGGAGAGGAGAGACGGAGAGAGGAGAGAGGAGAGAAGGAGAGGAGAGAGGAGAGAGGAGAGGGGAGAGAGGAGAGAGGAGAGAGGAGGAGAGGAGAGAGGAGAGGAGGAGGAGAGGAGAGGAGAGGCGAAGGCGAAGGCGAGGGCTGGAGGGGAGGGGCGAGGAGAGGGGGGGGGGGGGGGGGGGGGGGGGGAGAGGAGAGAAGAGGAGAGGAGGAAGCGGGGACCGTCTCTTCAACACGAGGACCCAACACCACAGGATGGTTGGGAAAAAGAGCCCAGGAGGTCCCTGAGGCGTTCAAAAGGCCTCCCAATAGATCCCCGAATGCATCCAAGAAGCCTCTGTCCTACAACTCAGGAACGGTGGCGGCATGTGCCGAGGCCGCTAGATAGAGGGCGGATCGTTTTCAAAATGGGCCCGCACTCGCCCTGACGAGACGCGAACTCGTCTTAGAACTTGTCACCAGTTGCACGGATGGAGGGCGACTCCTTTAGAAAATGGAGGTCTCGCCTGAGACATGGTTACAAGTAGTACAATAATGGTGATGGAACAAAAGCAGTCATGGAGGGCGATTCCTGTTCAAAATGGGGCTCTCTCCTGGAGACGTCCTCATCATTCCACCCGCAACAACTAGACGGATGCAGGGCGGTTCCTTTTCTAGAGGCCTCCTAGATGGGGTCCCTGTAGATGGGGTTTGAGGTTCGCGCCGCATCGCCAATGCGTCGGCGATGCATCGCCGACGCATTGGCGATGCATCGGCGAAGTCGGCGACGCGTCGGCGACGTCGACGTGAAGCAAATCGGACTCCACGTCGAGCCGCATCGGCGATTCATCGGCGATGCCGCGCGATGCTCCGACCCCATCTACGCAGGAGGCCAAGATATTCCAAGCGCGCGAAACAAATCCATGAACTGTGTGGCACCACCGTGTCGCAGTCCTCAAGGCAGGTCCTTCTCAAAGGAGACTCTTGCCTGCCTTGCGGGGCCACTGGGGCGACCGTTCTTCCAAGGAGGCGCCTCCCGCAGTGACACAGAATAATGCGAGGGACTTGTGAAGGGCATTGGCCCGGGTGGGTCTGCTCCTCCTCCTCCTCCTCCTCCTCCTCCTCCTCCTACTCCTCCTCTTCCTTTTCCAAGCCCCTCCTCCTCGCCCTCCTCGCCCTCCTCCTACGGGGGAGATCCAAAACCGTGTGATGACGGACCGGGCGGTGACCTCGAAACCCCAAGAGACCTCACCGCGCGGTCCGTCATAGTACGCTCTTGGGACCCCGGAGGCCCTGGGGACTCGAGAACCGACGAAAACGCCCGCAAATTTCGAACCGCGCCCCCCCCCAAAAAAAAAGCTTCGAACCTCAAACCCTGCACGGATCCTGCAGCGCCCGCTCCTCGGGAAGTTCTCCCGAGAGGGCAGCACGTCAGAGCCAGGCGCCTGCCAGGCTGCGGGCCCCGCAGGGAAGGGGGGGGGCGGAGAGAAGGCCCGCGGGACTCTGGGCACACGGCCCGCGCTCGTCCTTGGCCGGCACGTCCCGGTCCTCGCCAAAGAGGTCGCGGGCGGGGGGGGGACACGGCGGGGCAGGGGAGGGGAGAGGGAGCGGTCCGCATGCGAACCCTACCCCGCCACCCCCTTGAGAAATCGTGGGGTGGTGGGGTAGGCTTCGCATGTGGCCTCCTGCAGAGAGGGAGGGGTCAGGAGGCAACTGCTGGGAGGTCTTCGTCGTAAGGGAGAATGAAGCCCCATTGGGGGCTGCTACGCCGGATTGGGTCGCGGATCAGGCGGGATGAAGCGGGATCAAGCCGGATGAAGCCGGATTTCGGACAAGGGCAAATTCAGAATTTGACCTCCCAGGAGGTGCATCCGAAGAAGAGGGAGGGCGCAGAAGAGGGGGTCTTGGCTGTAATAGGTCTCTCTGTTCTCTGGCGTGGTTGCTCGGTTTCGGGCCCGTGGGGGCCATCACGCGTCGATCTGGCTCGCAAAATGGCACAGGAAGATAGGGTCCAGGGGTCTGGTCGTGATTTTTCGCAGTGTTGCAATCTTTTCGCATAAATTCGGATCTCCGAGCAGGAAGGGAGAGGAGAGGGGGGCGCGCTGAAGAGCTGATCGACCGATCCTCCTGGGTGAAGGGAGCAGGTGGTGTCCAAGACGTCCTGCCCCCTCGCCACTCTCAGCGCAAAATGTCTTGAGAAAAAGGCTACGGAGTATTTCTGTCCGTTGGCGGGGTTGGCGTTGCCGCCAAAACCGTGATTAAAAACAGCGACTGCTGTGGCGGACAAATCTTGCCCTAATTACCACCACTCGGGGCGTTCTCAGGACGAAAACAATTAATATATAGTATATATATAGATTATATAGAATATATATATTATATAATAATATATATATATCGAAGGTGAGGGGGTGAGATCGAAGTGGAACGGAAAGCCCCCCTACCGGGAAATCGGTTTCGGTTTCGTGTTCGCGCGTGCCGTGCGTGCGGGCGAGGCGAAGCTGCGTGGGCGGGCGAGCAGTGTCCCGCCTCTGGCTGAAGCGCGGCCGGACCAAATTGTTCCTGTCCGGGGCCTGGTGGCGCGCGGTGTCCCGCCGGTGTCCCGCCAGTGTCCCGCCAGTGCCCCGTCGGCGTCCCGACGATGATGATGATGTTGATGTTGATGTTGATGTTGATGTTGATGATGATGATGATGATGATGATGATGATG